ATCTTTTACATAATAAATTGCGAGAAAAATAAATGGTAATACGCCAATAAAATATTATGGCTATAATATTTTATAAAATTAAACTACGATAAGATTATATTTTAGGGATTTTTAAACTAAATTTAAAGGAAAACGAACGCATTAAAATATAGCAAAATAATAATTATAAAAAAAAAACTCATACTGTTAATATCTTAATGTTATAATAGTTAAAATAATAAATAAATAATAAAATAATAAAATAAATAATGTTATACATAATTGAAGTTGTTATGAGTTATGGCATAATTCACGTTTAATTAAGTTCACCGTTCAGTGTAAATCATATATCACAAAAAAATAAATTGCAATAAGCCATCTGTGTTATACGTAATAGTTATTTATTATTATTACTTTTAATTATTGCCATTTCGAATGACGTGATTACAACATATGTCGTTTGAGGCACTTGTTTTAATTGAATCGTGTCCGTATCAGTTGATATGTAGGAAATTAATAATCATATTATATTATACTAGTGAGAACTTTGCTAATGACAATCACTTACGATACTGCAGACATAGATCCGACGTAAGTGGCAATCGTTAGCACCTGTCAGCAGCATTGTAGGTCAAATACGATCATTATTATAATCATAATTATTTTCAAGTTACTGTGTAACTGAATCAATGTACCTATTATACCTATTATATTAAATGCGTTTCTCAATATCTGGAACTATGGGTACACGAGGGGGTGCACTTGAAGTGGAAATACTTGTAACCTACCACCCTTCGCTCGAGTGAAAAATTTGACGTTCATCCATTCATGGAGCGGTACGATCGATCAGACATGGGTAGTATATTTTACTATGGGTATATTATATTGTATGATACACTTAGGAGGTTTTTGATTCTTCATCGGTCAATGTGGGATCTTTTCAACCACGAACTACCAGAATTATGCCGCCGGACGTGATTCGTCATCGTAATGATAATAATATAGGTAGATGTTATTATAATAAAACCACTACATGATCCGGTTGGTTATTGTAAACCGTATGGTTTTGTTATCGACGACGATGATTTATGTGGATGACTCGAAAGTTAACAAAGTAGCGTGTAAAAAAATCGTTTTTTAAAAATGCAATTTGGTCAATCGAGTGTTTTTCAAACACTGCTGCAGGTACTTACCAACTGTACATCGATCGCGTAATGTGGTCGTAATGATTGTGAAATAAAATACGTCTGTACGATATTTTAACACATCAGCATCGTCATAAGCATCGTTAAGCCACGAGTCATTGTCCCATAATTATTATTGTTTCACGGTTTTCGTATACGACCGTACTGAAACAACTGTCGCTGAAACATACGTACCTACAATATAACAATATGTCACGAAAGTTTAACTTTTTCATTACTCCCGAATGCGCCCAAAACTAGATGCCAAATTAAATAATTTCCTGTGTTCACAAAACTTCCAAGAGAGCTGTAGTTTTGTTAAATGAACTGCGACTGTGCAGTTAGGGTCRAGGTTCCAAAAACAAATATTAACCAATTACCTAACCTCCGATTTCAAAAAAATAGATCATTCTCTGGCTACATTTATAATTAAAACCTTTGTATGACGTACAATTCGATATAAACAAGCGATAAAATTACTTATCAAATAAGCATATACCAAGAGCACCCAAAATAAACATTTATACTACACGAGTTTCTTGATAACATTTGCTTTAAAATCAAAAGTATTTTCACCGATTCGTAAGAGGTAAATTTTTAATCAATTGTGAAAATGTTAACATTAATAATCGATCACTTAAATTGATTTTCTTTGACACGTTATTAAACAGTATTCACTTAGAATTTAGATAAATAAAAACCGTTTTAAGTATAAATAATATTTTGACGAACATACGAGCATCTCTGGAAACGTGAAAGATATTTTTTCATTTAATATACATATTATATAATTTTAATACATCATTCAAATAATGAATATAATATTTTATGCACATAAATATAAATATATACCGATTTTATCAATGAATAATATGAAATATTAGATATACAAGACTACAAGAGGTTAGGGTTAGCCTTCCGGATCCGTATCTTGCTATTACCTAGCCATACGATCAAATTTGTATATAAACGTACATAAAATAATGTATATATAGAAATATTATTAAATAAACATTTTTTAAGCTATGTATTATAAAAATTATAATTTTATAAATTTCTTTTACTTTAAAGTTAGAAAAAGGTGGTTGGATAGATGGGTAACATGGACTTGATGTTGTAATATGGCTGCTACCTAAACAGTGCCCATAATATGTCAAAAAAATATTATTAAATTATTAAAGAAATATTATAATTTCTATATTTTATCATTTTAATATAAATTATAATAATATGTTTTTATTCATTATTACTTTTATCTCTATTGAATTTTCACACATTGTATACATAATTTATTCTAAACTAATCATCATAAGTTCAGTAATTTTTGGTGCTGTTCAAACGCCATACGAAATGATAACGATATTTGTTTATCATTTAATATGATATACTTATTTTTTCAAAAGTGAAATTTTCAATATTTTGGATTATTTGTTGACTATGGTGTAAGGTTATACCTATGACCTAAGACTCGTCTGAAACTGGTATAAAATATAATTTGAAAATAGTTCATTTATATTTGCAAATACAGTTTTTTATTAAGATTTTTTTTCGGATAAAATTCAACAAATATATTTAAAGTTTTAAGAGTGGATTTTTTTGAAGGATCTTTTCACGAATTTCCAACAAACCACTAAGTAGGATAAAACAAACAACTAGGTACTCTGTTTCGAATAAAATTCCGGAATTCTGAAAAATTCATTTTTGCTCCATTTATTGCAAAAGTAAAATATTAAAAAAAAGTTTAAAAATATGAATATCAAGTTTCTAACGGTTATTTGAATACTAGTATACTATACCCAACACGTTTTAAATAAAAATAAATTGGTAATGTCCAAGTTTAGCTATGTATTGATACACGATATATTGATATATTAATCAATGTTCATAATAAGTATTTTTTTTCTATAAATTAATATAATAAACAAATATTTTTAGTGTATAATAAAACCAGCCACATAATTTATATAATTTACAATAGAAATAATAATAACAACAAATATACCTAACGGCAAAAGGAATAATATTGTCAAAATGAATTTAAACTGTATTGTGTACAGAGTATCAATACGAACAATTAGTCTCCCACGGACTTTGCATAATGTCATATTATAATTTGGGAAACCACGAAGCTGTGCTACGGGAAGCTCTAAATCAAAGACTGGGTCACGTTGTAATTATAATTTTGATTTGTGACCAACGACCGTGTACTGCAATGACGAGTTGCATGATTGATACTTGTTATGTGTATTCTTCATATTATACTCACTATACGTATACTGTCTTTCCTCTTCTATATCAGCAATACTAAACATTCATATAAATATGATACTCCAATATAATTTGAGATTATTTTTTCACCCCCAAGGGAGAAGAGGATCTTACCACCAAATATAAATTCGTAATTACGCGTATTGGTCACGACTATCGGTACCACAATTATTATTTAAAACACGTAGGTCGTATATTCGTTTCAGTCTTGAGACGAATTTAAAATTATAGGTATAGTAAAATATATTATGATTAACACTTAAGCTACGTATATATCATTTAAACATCGAAATAATTAATTTCTTTATCGTACGCTTACTAGGCCTTCGAGGCTTCGACTGGTACTGACAATTTTCTGAGCACTAATACTGAATTCAGTCCAAATTATTAAATTGAACCCTATACGAAAACTTTTTTTTAAGTTTCAGAGTTAAACAAATATTTTTTTTTCTTTGAGTTGATTCCCTTCAGCTTGATCCAGGAGACACTATGTTGAGGTTGGCTGAGTGGTGGCTCCTAAAAACTGCGTGTGCTTATTTAGTGTTTACACTGTTTATAAATAATTTTAAAAACCACGGTTTTMTTTTTAATAATTTATTAATCTTTTGAATAGCAAGCAATTTTTTTTTATTATCATTCAATTATTGATTGTGTATTTGTATTCATTGAAATGACCAAATTATTTGGGGGTAATTAAAAGAATAAAAGAAAAAAAAACACTTAATTACATGAGTTTTTCAACCATTAACTCCACCGTTCAACTTCGTCTATCAATATTATTTTGAAATCTTTGATTATATTATTCATAAATTGAGAAAATTTTTTTTATTATTTGATTTTCACTCGACATAGAGACACCGCATGATTTCGCACTTGAAACAAATAATTTGTTCACCGAGTATTATCGTGTTAATTTTGAACGAATATAGATACAACACCGAGCCGTTAACGATAATATATCAAATCGTTAAGTATCGCACATTCGCACAACGTTCGAGGTTCAATGGGTCCAATTAAAAAAGATTAACAGAATAAACTGTATTCAATTCAAGCACCTAAAAATAGCATAMACTCAGTTGAATGTTATGCATTTTAAGTGATGCTATTGGCGCTCTACCCATATATTTATATAGGTTCTAGCAATGTCGTACTGTAACGGAGTAATATCCTATATTCAAATATTACTTAAAATTACTGTTGAATTTCGTTATGAAATTAKGTAAAAAAAACTTGTTGTTTTCACCTTTGTTCTGGGATATGTATTTAGGATTTTTAAGTAGATACACGATACAATGACTAATAATTCCTATATATAACGTCATATTATACCATAAATATTATATCAATTTATAATTTATTACCTATAGGTTATTGTCATCTTTATTGTCATCAAATAACTATACAATATACTGAGTTTTGTATTAACTAAAACAGGCGTTATCGTACTTATAAAAACGATTAATATTTCACTAAATACTATCCTGTTCGGACGTTGTTTCTGAACGCGTACCACCTTACGGGAAAAACATAATTTTTTAACTGAAATTATTTTTATGCTTGTTTATACAGGAGGATTGACGTCGCTGGTCGTATTATTGGACGCAAATAGCAGAGTCGGCGGCGGTTGTGGAAGGGCTGTCGACGCGATGTTCGTCGTGAGGGTCGGCTGTTACTGTTAGCGTTGTCGCCGCCGCCGTCGCCGTCAGCCGCTCGGGCAGCGGTGGTGACGGCGATCATGGTGCCGCCGTGGTGGCTGCTGGTGGCGTTCGTGTTTGGTGGCGTCAGCGCCGCGCTCACGTCCAGCCGGGTGGTGCGCACCAAATATGGCGACGTGAGTGGCGTGATAGTGACGCCCGACAACCGGCGGCTGGACGCGGTCGAGGTGTTCCGCGGCGTGCCTTAYGCCTCGCCACCGGTCGGATCGCTTCGGTTCATGCCGCCGGTCACCGGTTCGCTGTGGTCCGGCGTCAAAGTGGCCGACCGGTTCGGGCCGGTGTGCCCGCAGCGACTGCCCAACGTGTCCGACGAGACGGCAGCTCTGAAAACGATGGCCCGCGGCCGCATGCAGTACTTGCGCCGGCTATTGCCCTACCTGCACAACCAGAGCGAGGACTGTCTGTACTTGAACATCTACGCCCCTGCCCAAGGTAAGAGTGCATCGCTCCATTCTCCTTACCCCTAAAAAAAAAAAAAAAAAAACTATTTGCAATATTTAAGACACCGGACTTCCGACATTATTTGGTCGTGTAGATTGTCGTCAATCGATTTCCAACGGTCCCGCATTGTTTGAATATCAACCACATCTGTGAAGGTTTCTTGAGTGACATTAGTATACTTACTGATTGAAAATGTCTTTCGACATCATCATATTTTCTTTTGATGTAAATGGCAATATATATTTTTATTTCTACGAGTTCTTGTTCTTATTTGGCTTATGTCTGTGGCACATAAAACAGAACAAATTTAACATTAAATGTCACGAATATTGCCAACGTATAAGAAASTTAAATTATGTGGTTAGTTTGTCTAGACTGGTGAAGTTTATTATTAATCGGTCATATTTTCCGATACTACTTCGAACCAATATTGATTTACTAAAACTCATACTCGTCATGTTCTGTCATCTCAGCCCTTACCAGTGGCATGCTGATAGACTTAATTTTAATGCCATACCTCGTAATTGCAGGTGTGTTAATTTTATCGATCGATTGACTTTCGTATAATTGCTAATCAAGTAATGAARAGTTCACAAGCCGAAATAAGTTAGAGATTGAAACACCATAACAATACTATAGTTATATAGAAATACAGAACTGGCAGTCTATTTACAGTAATGCTGTCGAGCCGAGAGAGAGAGAGAGAGAAAGAGAGGATTCGTTTTTTGTTTCTCATCGTGAAATAATTTATCTGACAGCAGAACACTATATAGATAGTACGTCAAAAGTTCTAAATCGAATAATAAATTACGATGGCAATTCTCTTAGCGATCGCGAATTATTTGTGTTTGTTTTAAGTAAGTTTCAATACGAATTCACATAATAATAATTATATGCGTAATAACTTATAATCACGTAAGTTCTCGATCTATCGCTCTATTATAATGGTTTACACATTATACGAGTATAATACAATAATAATATTATAATATACGAAACGGACAAACGGGAAGCAGGTGTATCCAACATTTTATCAGAAGCCCTACACCCAAACAATATTAATAATATGATAACATTTATGATTAAATCCAAGCTTATAGATTGTATATAACCTGTAAATAATTGTATATATATTATGTAACCTATTGTAAACCAACGCCAATGGCCTTTGACGCCGAGGCTTAATATAAGAAAAAAAAAATAATAATAATAATATAATTACACACACATATGGATATATATAAATATATATATTTAAATATACTGATTCACTCGGCTATTACCGTCTACTAAGCACCATTTTACGAGACGGTTTTTGAGTTTTCGAGACGGCGATTACACGGATTTGTTAAACAACTGCAGTTTCCAAAAGAAGGACAAAACACTCCAATAATAATATTATATTGATTGCCACGATTTGCGTGGCAGTTAACTGGAATTACATACCATTACACTTTGCGCGATAGGTACCTTACAAACGCGCCAACGATTCGCAATATTTTTTTTTTCTCCTGGTATGGGCGTTTTTAACCCAGTAACCTGTAGAAACGCGAGCACTTCATTAATAATAATTATACGATTGTATTCCGGTCACCCGTCTAGCTCGGTGGAACTTATAAAACCGTTTGACAGTTCACCCAATTACAACAACTATCAAGCCCCGTCCCACTATTCCACACGATATTATTATTATTATTATTATTATTATTATTATTATTATTATTATTACTGCTATTATTATTATTATTATTACTATTCCGCGTCCCGGAAAACCGTACTTCCACTAATTAAGCMCTACGTGTACGCGGTGTAATTATTTCGGGTAGATCACATTATAGTTTAGATTTTTACGCCGATACGCAGTAAACTCGGTCGTATTAATAACGCACGCATTCCGGCGTTTCGACGATAACACAAGGGAATTATGTTAGTGTTTTTTTTTCACAACACGCCCGTTGTTTTTAATCCCACCCCCTCCGAGCACTAGGTGTGTAAAGTTTGTGAATATATATGTATAATGTTTGAACACTTGAATTTTTTTTCCTGAACACTACACGGCTGTTCGATTTTATCGTCTGCCCGTCGAACGACCWTATTGTTCTTGCGTGATTTAGGCATTACAATTTACTATAGAGTTTTATTTATAAAATTACTATAATAATAAAATATAGAACACGAACCGTAAAATATGGTTTAGAATAATTATATTCATAGCAACATTACAGTACGTACGTACAGACGAACTGGGTCGGTTCACGAGCAGTCGGCAATGAATAATATTATCGAATCGGCGTTGGTATAAAATGAATATAATGTGTCTTTTTGGTCGATGGACTAAAGTATAATATAGTATCGTATTCGTGGTGCCATGCAACATTTACTTATCGTAAATCCGACTTTGTGGCATTTGAGGCTATTACCGTTGTAGTAATACGGTTATCTCATCATAACGTATTCGCCACGTTAGACGGATGTGCGTTGAATAATTCTGATAATAATAAATAATGAGTAATACGTATACTATGCCAGTCATACGCTCAACCGTTGAGTATAAAAATATGGTTTGGTATTTTGTATTTTTTGGTATAACCACGAGTCAGTTTAAACATTTTCGAACAGTATTTTTAAACCAAGCCCGAGTGATGTTATTAGTCGCGTGTAAGAGAACACTTCAGAAACGCTGTAGCCACAAAAKAAACTAATTTATTTAAATTCAAAAATGAAAAATAAAATAAATGTATAGATACATAATATTATGATATTTGATACAATGGTTCGACAACAATAATTACATATTGTCTAATAGTTACCTTATATACATAGGTATACACTTCATGTTTACAAAAATACAATCATTAGTAAATATAATTTAACAGTGATTCTTAGATGAGTAAATTATTTATTTATTGTTAAAAGAAACATTGTCAAAAAAAAAAAAAAATAAAAGATCATTATTCAAATAAATATCTAACACGAAAATTATATAATCCAATGTATTGTGGTATTCAAATAACACATAGATACATAATATTTACCATTATATTAATTTGATATTATAATAAATCAATGCTTGGGCGATATTTTGTTCAATCAATAAACAAAGTACCTATGACGTATTTAGTGTTAAATAATCAATTAAGTAAAAAATTATGTTTATTTTTATTAATGGAACAAAAAAAATGTGTTTAGGGTAAGATGTGTATGCTACAGAGCTGCTGACAAACTTTTAAAAGTTAAGCTTCAGGCGAAACGCATATAATATCGTTACTATATTGTTTAATAGTAATTTTCATATGCTTTTGTTCACGACGAAAGTATGGTGTACTTGTAATATTATTATAATAGATGTAACGSTATGTGTAGGTTTTTCTTATTTTTGACTTACACGTCTGTTTTAGTTGTATGCCATCGTTTGCTATCGCGGTTTTATTCATTTGACGAATTATATTCGATCGTTCAAAATCCAAGTATTACATTCACCACACATGTAATCATTTAAGGTTTCATACAACTTGTAGTGATCAACTGACATAATTTCGGAACTGTTTCTAAATTATATTATATATATACACTTAAATATGTGTATAGTGCATACCAGATGCGTTGCTTTACGAACATGAAATGTGATCGCTATTTTATGGCTGGGTAATTTACGAAATAAATTACTTCACAAAAAAAAAGAACTGTGAGCATGTCTAGGTAGTACTTAGTTTTTGATGTTCGTTGGCTAAATAGTTGTTTAACAACAATATTCTTCTATCGATCGTTTGAAAATAATAGCCAAGTACCACAAAAACCTAYAGTTGATTGAATTCACCTATAGTTTGTACCAAATAGTTTTAATCTTCAYTTTTATATTTGTTCTCTCGAAAACTCATCCCATACATATGATTTATTTTTTAGGGAATATCATTTTAGCTATATCATCGTTTAAAATACAATAGATACACAAAATGTATTTAAAGTTTAAAAAATATTTAGTTTCTTATTTATAAGAGTATAATAAATAAATATAACTCTTATATTATAATAATATGATTTTATATTAAATTGTATGCAGTGACAAAATGCACATCATTCGCTACCCCAAGCTTCATGAAATCTGTTTTTACTGGCTCATAGTGTTATCATCATAGCTCAGTAATTAGTGATGGGAAAACTTTTTTTGGTTGATAACATATTGATAACACCCTTAGTAGTAAAACTTGGATATTATAATGATCTAGGTAGCGATAAATTTAGCAATTATATTTCAATTTTCAATTTCCTATGCTTTGCCAATCATTTTCAACTTAACGCAGCCTTTCCTTCCTTCGAACAAAAGTACTAGTAACTTTTAGGCCAATGTAGATTAATTTTGTTCCACCAACCTTACTTTATGGTGTAAACTCAAGAATTTCCTTAAACGAGCTAAGTTTGCTGCAGTCGTAAAGAACATAATAATAAATATTCTCCGGCAATATATAACTGTTAACTTTTGTGAGAATTCGAGACATAGAAAAATCCAATGCCCATCGATCTGTAGTTTWATAGTTTTAAAAGTATTGTAGAGTTAAATTACCAAAAGTGTATATTTTTTTACAAAATATTTTCTGTTAAAGAGAAACTAGCTGATGATATGGTATTTAAAATAAAATGTTTACGATTGTTTCAATTTTTTCAAGTCTGTTACTCGTTGATCAAAACTATTTTAATTATTTTTCATCAGTTTATGTTACTGACCAAAACCAGTTAATAGTAGATATTATCTACTTTTTTTTAGTAACTGATCATTTTACAACTTATCATCTACATCACTTAAAACGACATTTTAATATTGTATTTTTTTTATTTGGTTAATTTTAACTACACATAATTCATTTAKGTTTAAGTTATTTTAATGAAAAAATATGTTTTCATTTTTATCAACACATAACTTTAATATAAGATGATTTTCTATACGACATAGTAGATTGTCATTAATTTTTATCGTAAAGTAATGGTAAAATGAT